CTGTGGCACATCTACTCTGTGGAATAATACTCGGCCATTGAAAAGAATCAGATTCTATCATTTGCAACAAAATGGTCCAACAGAGTTTGGAAGACACACTCAGCCGGCCTGGGACTCCTGCATGAGTGAGACACAGAGCAGGAAAAGCCCGAGGTGACCAGTTGAAAGCAAAGTGGAGACTTTATCACAGACCAAAACAGACAAGGCGAAAGGAAGGGATGCAGCTGGACATGGCGCTGTCCTTACCGTGAGGCAGCTCGGGACTCGCCACTGCTCTGCTGGAGAACGCTGACCAGAGGTTCCCTCAGACACGAGACAGATCAGCAGTAATCGTGCTTGCTGCAGCATCCCGGGAAAGAACATTCAAGGCACATTGTACACTGAATCTCACTCCCCAATACTTCCATATCCATCTGAACTCACTACATATTTCTCCTTTCTTCCGTTTTTGGACTTTTTGTGCCAAAGTTACCCTGGATTCACAAAATGAGACGGACAGAATGTCTATTTTCTGAAAGGTTTGCATAATGTGTAACTTCTCTTATGATGACTTACTTGTAAAGTTGACTGGATCATTCATCCTGGGATGAGGTTTTGGTAGTGGTATAATTTGCATGACATTTCCTTGCTAAGATATTTTGTAAAGTGGCTATTATTTTCTTGAGACAACCTTGATTGCCTGTTTTTCTTGATTATCTGTTTACTAAAATTATCATCCATTTTGTCTGCCTTCACACCGTTTCTCTAAGTTTTCTCATATTATTCTTTTTTTATTCCTCTGTGCATATGAACTTTACTTTCTTCCTTTATATGTACACACACTGACCCTGGAAATTTGCTAATTTCATTAGGCTCCTTAAAGTTCTCACGATTGTAAAGGTGAGGAGACTTGGAGCCTGAGCAAACTGCTCAGCAGAAAGCCACCCTTCCAGGTGGCGTCAGACCTGAGACTCCTGAGGCCCCACCTGGCACACGTCACCTTGGACTTGCTCCCCTGCCAGCCTGCCACACTGCTTCATGTCAATCAGCGCTGGCCCAGGTGAACAGCTGTCACCTAACTGCGCTCAAACATCCCCCAGGGTGACACTGCGGACAGGTGTGGACAGCTAGGAAGCAAGGACTCATCCAGCACATGGACCCCATAGAGAGCACCCAGAATCCACAAAGTACAGCACAGCCACGCCCGTGGGACGCAAACACAGCCATGATGCGATGCTCGGACAGCGCCTTCCTCGTGAAGGATGGATGTGTGCCTAACACCCCAGGTGTGCTTTTAACCAACAGATTTGGCTAGACTGAAGATGTGCATTGAACTGCAAAGACCTTGCTTTCCTTAGGCACATTAGCATGCAGGCACCATGGGATCGGGGTTAAGAGGGTGGACTGTCCTTGCGAAGATGAACACTCACAATTAAGCAGATGCTTCCGACATTTCCAGTCACTTGAAAATCTTCCCAGCAGGAGACATTTATCCCTTAGAGCTCTCAATGGAAACTCTCACGGTGGGAAAATTTAGAGTAAAATCTTTTTACCTCAAATGGAAAACATCCACAGAGTTTTTCCTTTTCCTTGCCCACTTCCTTCACTTTGGCGATAATGTTCATAAGTGCAAGTGGCATCCACTCTACTGAGTCAAACATTAAACTTTAATCTTGGAAATCATGGTACTCTCAGAAACTGAATTATTCAAAGATGGTCACATAACTTGTCATTACCTGGTGCACTCAGCAGCTCCAGAAATGAAAGCGTTCTGTTGCCATGAGCAAGGGACACCAAACAGGCTCATACCTGTGTGCCAGTTACCAATGCCTGTCTGTAGCTATGTACTTCTTCAGGGAGTCAGAAGTCAGCTCAAGACCGCACTACCCGAACATTCTTCTTCTTTATAAAGATTCATCTATTTTTTTGAAATTCAGAGTTACAGAGAGGGACACACACACAAACAGAAAGAGATTTCATTAGCAGGTTCATTTCCCAAGTGGCGACAACAGCCAGGATGGGGACAAGCCGAGACCAGGAGCGTCAGCCAGGTCTCCTTGGCGGTGGCAGGGGTCCAAGTACGCAGACCATCTTTCACCGATTGTCCCAGTCCATTCTCAGAGAGCTGAATCAGAAGTGGAACAGCAAAGACATGAGCTGGTGCTCATTCAAAGTGCTGGAGTCACAGATGGTCGCTTAACATGCTGCACCACAGTGTTGGCACCTGCTCATTTTCACAGCTGGCTATGGCTGTGTGACTCTGCTGGATGTTCACTTTCAGCCTAGGTACACTGGTTACGACGTCGTGTAGCTCCTTCTGTTGTGTGCTTTCATTCCCCTGGGGCTGTGTCTTTTCTGTTCGGATACCATTGCATCCAGAGCTCCAGAAGCCACCTGGGAAGCTAGGGTGGGAGATCTGGATTTCTGATGTCACAGAACCACGGCTTCAGCTCCCTCTTTGTCACAGGAAGCCATCCACTTCCCACAAATAGTGCTGCTTTTCTTTGGTATTCTCTTCCCCAACCAGAGGTAGCTATGCCGCCAAGTCCACTCCCACACTCCAGGACAGAGTACTGCCCTGCGGCTCCACAGCAGGTACTTTGGCCATGGACCTCCACCATCTCGCCATCTCCCCTCACTGGCACAAAGCAGGGCTTAGTCACAGCCCCCATGTTACAGCATTCATCAGCTACTTACACAGATGGCACTGAATACATGCTACGTGTGTGTGTGCCAAAAAGCTTTGGATTCTGCACGCGTGTGGAACTGAGTCATGACATAGCATACATAAATTTATTGAAGTGAAATAATTCGATGGACTTAAATGAAAGAGAAGCAATATAGTCAAAAAAGCTTAACACTTAAAATGGCATTTCTTTACATTTGCATAAAAATTTGTGGTTAAGCCACTAGTCATTCAATCTTCTGAGCGCAGTGTACTCATGTGGGCGGTCTGAGGTGTACTTTCTGAGATGTTTTGGAGGGTCATTCCTGACAGTTTTTCAATTCAACACTCGCTATACAAAGCTAACTGCAACTTTAAGCCACCCAGTCTTTCCTTTTCTAAAAACAGACTTCTTGTTTGCACGTTACACTCTTCATTTTGCACAAGGGCTTTAAAACACATCTTCTGCTCAAATACCTGGGTGAAGACAAACATGTAACAAATGCCGGATTCCCCAACTGGGGTGCAGCACTGCTCAAAGTCCCCGTAACACAGTCTGCACAGAATGGCTTCCAAGACGAGGAGGCTGGTTGAAAAGCCTCAGGTGTATGGCCTGAAGCCCAAAGGTCTCAGACAAATGTTTAGCATCAGAGGCATAAAACATCTGCATCACTAATAGATGCACTGACATTTTCAACATTAGCATGAGATTTGACCTTTGTGTCCAGTCTTCCGGGATGTGGTGTTTTAGCGTGTTGGGTTTCTTTCCCTTCCTGTTTATTGTTCAAAGGCAAACCTTGAAGTGTCAACTTCAAGAATGCAGCGGCTCAAAGAACAGAAAAGAGCTCCTAAGAGCAGAACACAACAGAGTAAAACTCAATTAAATTTTAACCTTTCAAACTTTAAAGGATCTGAAGGAGTTTCATTTCCTCCTTAGCCAAATTAAATTGGATCCCTAAAGACACAAATAAAGATGCAAGGAAATACACTGGCAAGAACACAATTACATCCCAAGAACCAGGTTAAATTAAAGCGCTGCAGCACCAACGTGTTCATGTTCCACAAATCGGTATTTATTGATTCAACAATAACCAAAAAGATCACACCTTCCATTTTGACAAGGAGAGTATGCTATAACTGGAGAAACAAAATCACAAAAACTGAAATTGTAACTTCTTGAAGAAACCCTAATCCCTGTGACGTGTGAGAATCAAAATCACTGGCATCCAAGTTCTCGCGGTCGGCTTCATTCACACCATTTAAATTATCTCAGCTGTGGAATGCTAGCCAGGAAAGCACACTCAATCACATCTTACTCTGGCAACAGATTGTCCTAAGAAGTGCTTAGTACTCCACGCTGGAACTGAGTAAAGCCCCATTTTGAGATGAAATTAATGTGGTATTCCACTGAAACTTTAAAAATAAACATTGCTAGAACATTGAAAACACTCACAAATGTGTAACTGGGAACTCTTTGCAGTATTATGGACATTAATTTTATCTAAAAAGACACAAACCATCAAGTTTAATGCAGCCCTTGAGAACCATAATTCAAAACTTCATATCTGAGGATGCTAATTCTGAAAGAGACATCAATTCTAAAAACTTTCAGTATGTTTGAAAATTAATGTTCAGTTCCCACACATTTTTGTTTTTGCTCATATGACGAGAAGACAATGAGACATTCCTTTAGGTCAAGGCTCTCAACCCTGAGTGACCCAGCATGCAGGACTCCAGGCTTGTAATATGAGATCCCCGAGTCAGGACTGGGGCCTGACACGGGCAGATCTTGTAAGCTCAGGTGGGAAACTCCACATCTTGGAAGCCATTGACTAAAAATCAATCCACCGTGATTGTTTATGCAAGTCAGGAAGCAGGAAGCACACCATATCCTCTACCTTTCTACATCTCCATGAGTCTAAATCTGTGACATATTGGTAAAATTGTGGCAAGTGATACAGTAGATAGTTTAAATTATTAATTTTTCTGAAAGGTTAGATTTTTAAACTTTCTCTTTTATTAAGTATCATTTGCATTAACATTGGCAGTTTATTAACGACACACCATATAATATCCAGTTTTATGAAACTTGCACACCAGATTCGTTGAATTTTTATTTAAAAGCATGTAAGTGCATCTAGCACAAAGATGACAAAGTAAGACAGTGCTTGCTGTCCGTCCCTACACAAGCAACTGCCAAGTTTTTCCAGCCTCGCTGGGATGCTCCATGTCCTAACCAGACAGTGATGACCTGGAACCTTCTCTCTGGCCCTGAATTTCTCCTTTTAGTCCCTATCAGTCTACTCCTGCCTTTTTTTTTTTTTTACAAAGAAACCAGTACCCACCTGGCTTGGCAAAGAGGTAAAGATGTAGGAACAATTCCCCAAAGCCTGCAAAGAAGCACAACCTCTTGTCCGCTAGTTATCAATGAACAAATGCCTTAACACAGAAGATGCAGCAGACACAGCTATGCGGCTGCCTGGATGCGCCCTTGCATGGAGTGCTGACTGCCGTGAAAGGTAAGGTCCTCCTTCTTCGGGGCTTAGACAGGCAGGTGGCACACGTCATGACCATCAGGGGCTGGGCCAGGAGTCAGCTGTGGAGTCTGCTGCTGTTCAGTAGCAAAACGAATAAATACCTGCGAGAGACAATAAAAATGGTACCCAGCTTACAAGATGCTCAACCTGCCGGTCTCCACCGTGCCAAGGGAAGGAAGGCACCCTCTGAGAACACTGCCCAGCTTGTGCTAGAAGCCACAAACCACTCGGGCCCTCCTGAATCAACATCAGCAGGTGTCCACTGAGGGACAACTCCGTGACTACTCATAAAGTACCAGGAATTCCCCGTGCCTGAAACATGGCTTTAGAAAGAAAGAATGACAGAATTTTATACTCCCATTACTCTTACTAAACCAAGCACTTAATGTTCCCTCCGAAGTTGGCTGTCATTGTATTGCAGTGGAACCCTCATGTCCTTCTGGGGGCTACATATAGGTCAGAAGGAAAACTTACTGGGACATTATGTAACTCAGAGAATGCCCAACGTAGCTACAAGCAAATTGGAGCCCAGCTGAGCATTTGCCTTGAGTGTACAGACGGTCAAATCAAATGCCTCCTTGTGTTTCCCACCCTTGCCTGAAGTTTGTAAAACTGAGCAAGAGTAGTTGAAAAGAAACTGCATGAAAGATGGAATCGGGCTAATTTATCAGTTGGATCGGCCTGATGGGCATCGAGACACTGCACCTGCTCCAAAGTGGTGTGGCTAATAGAGTAATGCTTGATATCCAGGAAGGTCTTGTTGTTCTCCAGAACCTTGAACAGGTCAGCTAAGCAGCCCCCGCTATTGGGCACATGATATTCCAATAAATTAAGGCGTTGTCCCTGAAAGCAAAAACAAAAAATTTACATGGTTAGCAGAAGTGATCACACTGCATTTAAGTGCCAGATTTATCCACAGTTCTTCAACTCATGCATATAAGTATTACTGAGGTGTCCAAATTAATTTCGTGAGTCAGCAGTGGGTGCAGAGGGATGGCAGTTCACCATGAGGCATTATTGGTAAGTGACATTAACCTGGGTTAAGTTGCTTTTGTATGCCCTGATTTGCTTCTACTTTGCATCAGTAAGGGGGTGGTCTTAGATCCAAAGGGGCCTGCAGATATTGGGTAAGTAGAAAGCTAATGTGGCCTAACAGACATGGGGAGTGCAGGGGCACAGGAGCGCACATGGACTTGGGTTGTCCCTCAGGAGCCATCTACAGTAGCCAAGCAGGTCAAGGTGCCAACCACCCAATCCACCTTGACACAGGCATCGATAGACTACAACCTGAGCCAGAACAATGGTGTTTTGCACAGCATGTTGCTTCCATGGTAGAACATCACTAACTAGGGAACCGGCTTGATGTTGGAAAGTTACAGTCCTATAACTATCCCAAAGAACTGTAGACGGGGACTCTCGAACTTCAATGTATTCTCAGGAACCTGCAGCTCAGGGGCAATAAGATGAAAACTGAGATTTTGCCCATTTAAACAAGTCCAAGCAATGAAGATGCTGTTGCTCAGGGACTACACAGGACCACCTCAAATGTTGGGAGGACACAAGACGACCAGGTCAAGTGCTGGGATGACATGGGACCAGGTCAAGTTTGGGAGTCCACAGGACCAGGACAGGTGGTCGGGAGGGCACGGGCTCCAGTCAAACACTAGGAGGACAGCACTCTCTGAAATAGGAGTCCTCAAGTGGAATGATGCTGCCCAGGCTGGAAACCTCACCACAAACACATGGAGCCAGTGAGACTTTGCAAGCTCAAGTCGTGACCTGAGTGAGCCGTGCCCACAGATCAGGAAGCTGTAACCCCGACTGCCCTGGGCAGCCCCATGGCTTGTCATTCTCAGAAGTCCACAGGGTTCAGCTACCTGGCTGTGCAGGGTACAGAGGCCTGCCCATGCTTCTCCATGAGGCCAAGATTGCAAGCAAAATCACCAGACAGCACAGAATACAAACATGAGAAGACAGGAACATCTGTGAGGTCTTCTCAGCTGCCAACAAAGAAGCGATAAACAACATTAGCACTACCTTAAACTGGATTCCTGGGAAATGGAGTTTCAGGCAGTCAGAAACAGTGGTAGGCTGATGTGTGTCCTTATAAAGCCAAACTTTGACTACATAACCATCACCAAACCTGAGAATGAAATCAGACAGAAATATAATAGTTACTATTTGCATGTCTCTTGCATCGATCTAATCTGGGTGTGCTACAAGGCCATTCTACACACGCAAAAAAAAAAAAGGAAGAAAAGGAAGCAGCCAATCCAAACTGTGGAAAATGTTGGTTTCTTACACTAGCACATGCTGAAATTAATGGTAAGTCAATTCTACCATTTGCTGCCTATATGACAATTTATACTTACAATTTATATTGGCAATGTCAATTTATATTGACAGAAATACTGACTTAATTTTAAAAAATAATGATCAGCAAATCCTGGCATTGACACCAACTCCAGAACAGTGAAAAGGTAAAATGCAAATGCGAAAGCCCAGTGCCGAGTTAGTCAGAAGCTGGGCTGCAGACAGCCCAGAAAGCACAATCACTGGTCTCTTTGCTCCAAAGTCTGTAAATGGTAAGACAGGGCCAGGCAGAGATGGAAGGAGTGCATGAGGAGCCCAGCCAGGCACTGTCTTGTCTGCTACAGAAAATGACTCTCATGGGCTTCAGTCCAGTCTGGGTGGACAGTCCTACAACTCCAAAGAAGTCTCCAGCCACAAGGCACGATTCCTAACGTCAGAGGGTCAGAGATGGCTTTCCGTGACTGATACCGTAGAACCAACAGGATGTTCTGCCCTTGTCTAGTGCCGCTCATAGTGCACAGATGTAGGTGGAGTCCCACGTATGGCCAAGCAACCACTGCAGGGGTAATACCCAAGCACAACCTCAAATACCAGTCTCCCAGAATGCCTGGATTTGCTGCTGAATCCCACGAAGCCAGCATGGTTTCAAACCATATTAGTGTCTTAGAAAACATCTGTGAAATAAAAAGTACCCAACCTGGGAACATACTAAGAGCATGGACATGTGTTTTGTTTATGAATGTATCTGTTCTGATTCAGCAGCCTAGCACCTGGTGCTAACACCAAGAAGCACTGGTTTAATGAGCAAAGGAATGAACCAATGGCATGCCCAGTGCTATGGATCACAATTCGTTTAGAAAACATGGGTGGGAAAAGGCGTGCTATATATGAGCAGAATTTCAAGTGAGACTGGTATTAACACATTTACGCGGGATCATTCTTGGACTCCAAGGGCTGCAGACAGAAGCCCCAAATGACATGAGTTTGTGCTGGCGACAAGGACCACACGGTGAGCATCCTTGGAATTCCTCACTCTGGGGTTCTGTTTTTCCATCTGCTGTTTGGCCTTCAAGTTGTCAGATGTTGTTGCCCCACGGCTATGCATATCCCAAAAGCCTCCATCAATTCAGGTTGATGTCTGTCAGTCTCACCTGGCTGAAATGCTACCAAGGACCTCAATGAAACACATCTTAAGAAGAGTGGGCACTTGATTCAGCAGTTGAGAGGCACCTGTCCCTTACTGCATGACCTGGGTTTGAGTTCAACAGCTACATCCTCACCACCTGTGTAGATCTAGCTCCTGGCTCTGCCCTGCTTCTCAAGCTCAGAAGAACAGCCCAAAAAAGGTTCAATAGCTACATGCTCACCACCTGAGAACTGGCCTGCACCCTGGCTCCACTCTGCTTCTCGAGCCTACAGAGACACATCTCCCTGAAATCTATTTCAGAGCAGCAGGTGCACATGCAGGGGCCATTCCTCTGCCCCTCAGGGGCTCCTGCCAGAAGCTGCCTCTCATCTTCACCAGATCTTCCATAAGGTTGTGAGTGCCCATCTTCCTGGGCTCAGCAATGTGTCCTGAGGTATAGGGCTTTGAGGATGGACATCGTCCATCCTGATGACATGTCTGTGCTGGGTCTGCACAGGCTGGGTGTGGATCACTGCCCCCCATCATGAGATGTGTGACCCCGAAAAGCCAGGCAGTTTCTCCCCTCCCTTGTCTCCTATGGGACATGAGCTACTCACAAAGCTGCTGATGGCTGGCCGCATTAATCCTTGTAAATAACTTGAAACAGAACCGCATCTGACACATGTAAAACACGTAGCAGATAAGTGGAGAGCTTGGCTCTGTGTCGGATGCGAGCACAACGCTCTATGTGGCGTGAAGAAGCTCATGACGTGGAAGCTTTGGATGAGAGTAAATGAAAACGCCACGTACGAACAAGAGGACGGAGGGCAGCGAGTGTGGGTGACTTCCCACCCTCAGCGTAGCAGGTAACTACTATCCAGGTATTGGGCTGGTGATGTTGGAAAACTCCATGATAAATTCTGTAATTGTCTAATCCATTCTCTAGAAGCATATGTAGATGTAAATGCATATCAGGATTCAGTTTACTTTGACTAAATAAGAAATTTCCAGCTCCTATAAAGAATCTGAATTGTGCGAAAAGAAAATTATCCAATTTTTTTTTAAAAATTGCCCCCTGCAACTCTTGAGAAGACATTCCTGAATTATACTGGCAGATCTCTCAAGATCTCTTTGAAGCAGTCAGTAAGCCTTGTGGATACAGAATTATGAGAGCATCGCACCTCCAGTAATTAAGGGGATGTTTGCAGATTGTTAACTCCATTTATGACGCAAGCATCTAATCTATATTAGCTCTGCTTCCTTATTTCTGCTTCTAACCTACAGTTTTTGTCAATGATCTAAACTCCCTGAGGGATTTATTTGATTCCTGCATCTTTCACAGAACAAAGGCTTTGGAACAGCTGTGGCATCCTTTGCTTACACTTCTATTCATTGATTGAACATTTCTACTTAATCCATTAAGTCCACATGATTTGCACTGCCTGTGACTACTAAAGATAAGCAAACAGCATTATGGGACAGAGACGGTACTCATGGGGAACGTCTGCCCATGCGTGAAGCACAACGCTCTTCTCTCAGTGTTTCCAGTGATCAGTGCTAACCACAGAGGCAAGTACAAGGTAGATGCCAAGTGGAATACCAAACGCCTCGCGTTCTGAAAGCCATTCCCTCGTGGACCACGGCCAAGGCAGCTAGTAGAGCAGCTGAGGGGCCCAGGCCTCAGAAGGAGCCTCTGTGTCTTTGCCGTCCTTGGCTGGGGACACACTTACTCCGGTCCTTCCTCTAGAGCTAAAAGTCAGACAATGAACAAATAGGTGTATTTTGTCCTCAGCCGGTAAAGGCGCCTCTACAAAGAATTCTAATCTTGGGAAGGACCTAGCAATGAGAAATTCTAAATTGCACATGCAGTTCAACACTGACTAGAGAAAATATGCATCTAAAAGAAGTCCGACTCAGGCAGCACTTCAGAATACTATCTGAACAAAAGGGAAGAATAGTATGCGGGTTTCCTCTCGTGCTCTTCTGAATTCTAAGCATGCGCACCGTGGTGCCTGATGAGCACGAGCTCCTAAAAGAGAGACAGCAGCCGTTGACAGCTCCCGCTCCACAATCACACTGCAGTTTCTGACATGTGACACGTCCTTCCTGGCGTAGAGGCTAAGCTTGGACTTTAGAAATAATATTTGTAAAGCATAAACAGTTTTAGAAAATGTCTATGCATGCAAGACCTACTTCCATGCTCTGTATCCTAAAGAATCCATACATCTGCTTGTGCGTGTGCACAATTGTGCACGCACACATGAGTGAGGCCAGAGAGAAGAGGGGATCAGGTCCCCTGAGGCCCAGAGCCCTCCAATGCCCCTCTCCTGTCCCATCACACCATGCCCAGTCCTCAGGGACCAACACCTCCTCAGTGCTCCGCCCAGTGTGAGGTGTACCTGTCTTCAGGGTATGTAAGGAAAAGTGGGGGGCACCAAGGAGGGAGGGTGTCTGAGGGTTGGGGAGAACAGACACTTATGCTTGAGCCCCTGATGTGAGCTGGCGTCTCTGTACTGCAAACATCTTCCTTGATGTCCCAGTCCCAAAGTGACCCTGCTGGAGAACGAAGGGGACCAGGAGACAGCGGCGATGGCATGACTTATGCCTGGCGCCTGCTGCAGGGGAGACACCGAGCACACATGCCCTGTGAGTCCCCAGCAGTCTCACACCATTGCCTCTGCCACCACTGTACAGGCAAGGACCAGAATCTCCCAGTAGCAAGGGAGCATGAGCAGCACACACAGTGCAGAGAGGAGTGAGGAGACACCACTGCCACACTGCACAGCTGCTCCTGAGCTCCGGCTGCCAGCAGGACCACATGGAAATGGTGATGGCCACGCACTCCTATCCTCATGTCCACCTCAGCCTTCTGTGTTACACAGTCCATGTGCCAGTGAGAGCAGCGGTGCCTCCTCACTGCAGCACTCAACGCTGCAGACCCCAGAGAGGCTGGGACTTTCTTCTCCCACCCTACGAGGTGGAGTCTGGACCCAGGAGGTTCATTCTCTCCAGCGCTACTGCCTTTATCATTTCGTCTTCCGTTAAAACTTTCTAATCATTGCATATGCAAATCTGGATGACTGTGGGGATTATAGAGCCAAGGTTATTAACATAAAGAGATTCTCTGACAATCAAGAGAAAAAGAGGGGGGAAGCTTTCAGCAGCTGGCACCAGCGGAAAGACATTGTCTTTGAAAAAAGCCTTGATAAGCTGTGACTTTAGGGAAAACAGCAGACAAATGGGAGGTGGACGGGGCTTTGCAGGAGGAAGCCTGAGCCACATCAGCAGCCTGGGCCTCTGCAGCTCTCCCTTTCCCTGGCTTGGGCTGGCCTTTCCTTAGGAGGCTCCACCTATCAGCCCCAACATGAAAGCATGAGCGCCTGCTGCAAAAGAATGAAACAGGTCCCTGTGTCACACAAGGTCAATACCAAACATCACCCAAGGCAATTCAAACACATCGATACAAGTTTGATGCTAAGATGTAAGAATCTCTAGAAGAAAACGCAGAAGGAAATCTGCATGACCACAGATTGGGCAGCGGTGACTTGAATGGGATACCGGAACAGCAATACAACAGTAGGTTGTTGGGCTTGGTTTACGAAGATAGAACCAAAATATCAAAAGACAACTCACAGATGGGAAAAAGTACATGAGGTGAGAAATTCACAGTCTAAAAAGCCAGGCAGTCCAGGATAAAGAGACAA